ACTGATGTGGGCCCCACTGCAGTGGTCCCCACTGTGTTCGTAGGACAGCATGTGTAGTTATTTGTTTCAGTTATAGTAGTGTCAGTTTGTTAATTCAGTTGTTATTTATTTCAGCTTTTATTTACTTTATTTATTATGTAAGTACTAAGGGCAGATGTGTCCTTTCCATTGTATACTAAACATAACCTATAAATAATAAGAAAGTGGCGGCGGCAGATCTGTTAGAATATGTTCCTCCTTTCAACCACTTGTGTTCTCCTGTTCCTCTTCTATTCTCTCTTCTTTCTCTCACTTTTCTCAGTCTAGTAGACTGATCTTCTACTAGACTTTTGGAATGCTATGAAATTTCAGATTTTGGGATTTTGTTCAGAATATGAAGACTAACAAAATCAGGAATTACCAATTGGGGTGGCTGGGTGGGGGTTCTATTTGCAATTTCGAAATTTTCTTATTTTTCACAAGACTTGAGAGTATGTAAATGTCTTTATTTGTACTTATTTTCACACACACTGGTTTTTATTTTGTCCATATGTATTTTGGTGTACAAATGCATTTTGAAAATAAATAATAATAAAAATAAATCAAGACTCAAAAGGAGATTTCAACTGAGTTATTTATTGTATTTAATAATATGATTCAATCTATGATTTTATTGCTTATATGATCCGCTGTATCATTCTAGCTTTTATACTTTGCTCTTTTTTTATTCATGTCAAACTCAGTGCACAATGTGAATGGAAGCAACCATTAGGCATTCTAACAAGAGGTAGAAATCCATACAACAAGATGAAACAGTCCTACATTAATTGCTAAACTAATAAAGAATTCATTTACATAATTCATGATTTGGGTAAGCTTGAGTACCAGTGTTATCAGACATCATTTTGATTAGCATCTTTTATATCTAATAAACACTTGAGAATAGAAATAATTACATAAAAATCATATAAAAATATATAATTATAAAAAAAAAACAAACAGAAATAATTTTGTAAAGTTCACTCTAGTAAAGTCCAAACTTTAGAAAACTTTTGTTTATCTCAAACTTGGATAAAGAAATTTTTTAAAAGTTTAGTGTACTCTAGTAATTATATCAAACTAATAAAATGATAGAAGGCATCAGTTCTATAAATCCAAACTTTAGAAAACTTTTGATGCAGAAAAAGAAACTAAAATCCCAAAATTTTGGTCAATTTAAAACCTCAAGAAAGAGTGGGGTTTGGACCAAGTGTGGTTGACCATTTGGAGCAATCTCTAAGACACTTTTATCATCAACATTTCCAATAAAGGCTTTCATTGTCTTCTATATCTTGCTTACTTCGTCTAAGTAGGCTCTTGATAGATGGCAGTTATGAAGGCCATTATCCAATGATGGTCCCATATAGTTCAATAGCAAACAGAAAGGAATGGCAAAACAGGATTCATGTAATCCATATAGTTGGCATAAGGCTTAGATGATGATGATAACCCAATGTTGGCCCCAACTATCTACTCTCTTGGTGAGTGAGGACAGTGAGGTTGACTAGATATAAACCTAACTTTTGGCTTTTTTTTTTTTGCACAATGTTATGAAAATGCTAAATGTAACCCGTATATTTGGTAGCCTAAGATTTTACCGTTAGACCAAGCAAGGAGAATGCTAAGTGAAGCACCATGCAGCTATATGATATCTCCAACCATCATGTCACTGGTTGAGGAAAGAATTTGCTAAAGGAAAACAAGCCTTGTAAAGTATTTCACAAAGGGAACAATGTCCTTTGAGAACCATTACAATACTGGGTAATGGTTACAGGACCAACTTGAGACAGTCCAAATTTGATATTGATCTAACAATCCTACTGACTTAAAACCTTATAAAATTGATGGGTTGAGCAGTGAATCCATCAATTTCATAAAGTGTGCATCCTGGAAAGATAGGTAAAGGTTCTTCTTTGCAACAAGGCATGGGTTTCTTTTCTACTACGAATCAACAATGGCGTCAAATGAACCCTATGATGCTGATCGTTGAGGTGATATTTGAGCACATTGACACGCCATTGGATTCAGGGATGGAATACTCACATGAAATGCTAGAAAATCCATTCCTCTCTTACCCTAGCAAGGAAAACATACAATTGGAAGCCGACTTTGAAGGACCTTATTTCCATTAAACTCCAAGGGAAACTTTTCAGGATGAGAAATGTTAAAATACTGGAATCATTTTATGCCGTCGAAGTAGGGTGTGCCAGCGCTCCAATGACAATACCTGCCTTTTACATGAATAATCAGCATCTGAAATTCGGTGCAGAACAGAACAAGGGTTTAGCAAATAGCCAAATAGTGACGAAGTCAGCAATCATGCTAGATGAAACGATAGAAAAGCAAACCTCATAGCCAAACATGTAAAACCTAACAACCAATAACCTGTACTCGTCATTTAAATTTTATTCCAATTCTCCTAAAATCGACGCCATGAAGCATTTTCCTTTTCAGCTTAGTTTCACACTTAATTCTAACTTGTAAGAACTTAAATTGGTAAATCAACAACATAAACAGTAAAACTGAGCACGGGAACAAGATCCAGCCGACCAGCAAACGAAAACTCTAGCGAGGGAAGGACTTACTGTTTGGATGTCAAACCTCCAATGGCTAATCTCTTCCCATCGAAGTCCTTTTCAGCTTTAATCAGCCACCAATCTTGTAAACAAACCTAAAAAAATAAGAAGAAGAAGAAGAAGAAGAAGAAGAAGAACATGCTTAGATGGAAATAGAACATCATTAAGGAATTTGTCCCGACAAGTGTTGAGGTCAGAAGATGTACTGTTCTGAGAAAGGAGGAAGATATGGTTTTGTTAACGTGGGATTGACTTGAAGCATAATCAGTGGTCATCACCAAGGGAGTTGCAGAGTGGATACAGATTCTAACAAAGTCTAAAAAATCATTGATCGTCCCTTCAGCTGCTTTCTTCAAGCGCGGCTTTTCTTTCCAAGTGGGAATGAATTTTAAAGCGTATCCTCTACTTGGCGTATTGATAAAACACCCCTATAACTCGCAATTGTTTTACTCAATCGCACGTAGCCTAAGGCGCGTTTCTCTGTGCGGGCTGTCGTCTGACTCATGTTTGCATTTTCTTCCATATGGTTGGAGGAGGAAGATTTTTTCGTCAAAAGACCGTGGTCCAAAAAAACGCGAAAAAATCGATTTTTTTTTTAAATAAAATAAGAGAGCACTGCATCAAACGGGGTAGTGCGCCCCCAGCAGCTTGGTTAATACTTAAATGATATAAACTCCAATCTGCAGCGTGGTTAAAAAAGAAGGGGAAGGGAAGATAAGTGAAATGACACAAACTCGTAACTATCTGGGCTTCACTACCAATCCAATCTGCAGCGTGGTTCATTTCTCTGTAGACATGTTGAAAGATAAATCTTCTAGTAAAGTTGTTCATTCTAATGCAGTTCTTGGTAGTGTTCCTCATCTTCTAAGGAGGCTTTGTCTTCTGGGTGAAGCACAAAATCACCAATTTTGAGTCTCTTTTGATAATGATCGGAAATTGATGAAATTTCAAGGCCATCTTAATGGCCTCCCAGGCAGCCCACGCTCTGGTTTGATTAATTCTATAAAATCCAATATTAATAGTTTTGGCATCCAAGACATGACAAAGATGGTTACGGGCAATACACAGCAGTATGATCATCTAAGATACGAGAAGAATCAAAATTGATTTTAATGCTATCTTGAGGTGGACCTGACCATACAATGGACTTCCAAATCTTGTGAAGGGAATCAATGTCTACATCTTTTTAGAAAGGACAAAACGCGAGAAATTCAATTCAGGCTTATAGAAAATGACTCAAACCAAATGATCTTTGAGCTTCCAAGATCTTAATGAAAATGCTCACAATGTCTTTTAACTGTCAAATCTTCTGATAGATTTGTCAAAAAAGACTTACCAAACAGCACCTAAGTCTTCTGGTCCAACAACACCCCTATCAATGTGAGGGAGGTTTTATTTTCTTTGGAAGCATGTGTGTCTCTCTTGAATCCAGATTTGCTCCTCATACTCGCAGAGGGTGCCTCACACCAGCCTTATAGCACTTGCAGCCACACATTGGTGTTGTCGTATATTCCCATTTCCTAATGCATGGCTGCAACATACTGTCAGGCTGGTGTGACTTGTAAGACATATTTTATGAGGAGCAAATCCAAATTCATCTCTGTTTGGGGCAGAAGCGGTGGACCTGTTAATTGGCCTGTCTTCAAGCCCGGAAAGATATGGTACCAGAAGAAATTTGACCAATCAAAGTATCCCATGAATTTTGTTGAATACCCCCTGATTGATATCATAGTTGAATCCTATACTATATTGGGATCAGGCTTTAGGCCAGGCCCATATACATTTTGGTAAAAGTTAAGCCCCATCCTGGCCCATGAATAGTTGGGGGAAGGGGCTTGTTTTTAAAAGATTGATATGAGAACCGTTTAGGGTATTATTGAAAAAAAAAAAAAAAAAAAACTGAATTTATGCCCTTTCACATTTTCCACTTATTTTATTGTCCAGTGTCATTTAGTGAGTGGTTGACGCCAATGCATTTCATGAGTATCAAGTGATCCATTTCACTAGCTTGGCACATCAGGAAAAAAAAATGCTATTTAATCATGTTTGGCAAACTTCTTTTTTTTTTAAATCGTTATCTTTTATCTCTTCTTCTCCATCTTCTCTTCAAAACAAAGCCCTAGGATTAATAATTAAAAATTTGGATAAACAGAAAATTTTAACTATTTAGTTGGAACAGATCGGCCAACAATGTTTCTTATAGAAACTCCAACAATCTCTCATCTAAAAACAATTACAAATTTACAATCTCTCTCTCTCTCTCATCTACTTATTGAATGGGATGCATGCCTACCCGTTCTGAACACCTTTCTTTTATTTGACATGGATCTTTTTCAGATTGCAACATCTACATCACTTTCCCTCCTGTCAACAAGTTCAATCTCTATTAACCATCCAGAGATGAAGGGAGATGATTGCTCAACCATCACATCTCTATCCATCTAACGAATACTCTAGACCATCACTGTTCAAATTTGTTTCAACTTAGATTAGTTCCAAACCAACCCCAATTCATTGACTCATGTATTCTTATCTTCTATCAATGGACCGGATATTGGTTCTACCAATATAAATCCATTATGATGGTATTGTATTCAAATTCATAAATTTTAATTACTGACAAAAATTCTGTTTAGTATTTTTACTTTTGTAAATGACTAAAAATTAAAAATCATAATCTTATCCCTAATTCAAAGTAGGAGTGTCAATTGGACTGGATTTCGTCCAATCCAATGTGAGTCCATTACAAATGGACCTGGTCCAATCCAGTCCAATGAATATTTTGGACCATTTTGGAACGGTCCAGAGACTGTCCAATCTGTTCAAATTCCTGTTCACTTGGATTGGTTTCAACTCAAACCTGGTCCATTTGACACCTATGTTCTTACTTTTTATCAATGGACCAGATATTGGCCCAATCCAATATAAATTCATTATGGGCGGATCAGGTCCAATCCAATATGTCAAATTGGTCTGTCCAATCCATCCAAATTCAATATGCCTTATTGGTCCATCCAATCCATCCAAATGGATTTCGATTTAGACGGAGTCCAACCCAAAACCGGTCCATTGACACCCCTAATTCCAAGTCATCCTAGAAGGATGTGAGTTGAAGCTTTATGGCAAGATTTGAAATCCACAATTAGAGATCTAAAAAAATACTGATACATCATTCCACCGGTGACATGTTAGGCCCTTTGGAGCTATTCTCTCACTCTGTATCAAACGTATCGTATATACTTGATAAAAAAAAAAAAAAAAAAAAAAAGAAAGAAAACATGCCCTTAGCATCTAAGGGCATGCCATAATACAACCATTATAACTTACCATCTAAGTGGAATTAATCAAAGAAAAGATGCAATGTATAATACTGATACAAGGCAAAGCATACCCTCTTTCTAGCATTTCAAATATATATATATATATAAACACCTATTAAGCAGAGACCGGCGACTTGGCAGATAACTGGAAATTGCCACAGCAGCCGCATGGTGGTTTGAACTGTATAACACTATAACCGATTGCCAGATTGGTCAGAACCGCGCAAGAACCTTCATTTTTTATGGTGGCTCATAACACTTTGGGGAATCAACAAATAAATTATATAATACATACCCACAAATAACAGATGGAGAGAAAAATAGGCTTAAAATACATCTGGATGAAAATGCCCCGGAATGGAACTACTCTCTTGTGCCCTTTGCAGATGGAGCTTCAGTGTGTAATTGTTCAGCTGCACCACATGAACATTAAGTCTCTTCAATTAACAACCCATCATCATATTGGTCTGGAAGTGAAGCCAATAAGTTTATCTATTTAAAATGTAGGACCTTGGCAAAGGACCTGTTGGTGATTGTTCATAACAAGGGTGGGGAAAGCATGATTCACCTTATATACAAGCACAGGTCACAGCCAAGTAATGTAGCATATTTCAGGTCTCAAGGCAAGTTGACCTTTGCAAGTAAGAGCCATTCTTACACCCCAAGGTTCAAAGTATCGACATAAGGCGCCCAATACAAAGCGTATCATATCGGAAACTGAAGGCATGGGTGGATTGGCATGATGCCACTGAGGACCTATGGCTGTGGTGGTGGTTATAACCACTGGTAAAAGTTCCTGACTACTGGAATAGGTCAATGAATTGCTATTTAATATTCCTCTTCCTCCAAACTATTGACAGTTTTTGTAGCCTGTCCTGACAATTTGGGCCACTGATATATATCCAAATACATATGTGGTCCAAACTTGTTAGATCTATGGACTTTTTGAAAAAAAATGGAAAAATCCAAACACTATAAAAAAAATATTTTTGGATATATTGTAATTTGTAAATGATGGATCCATCCACTATCTATTAAATTCAATGATCTATGAATTTATATAAAAAATGATTTTTTCCTTTGTTCTTCAGGAAAACCAAAAATTACAAAAATAATTTGTTTTATATATTCTAAATGATTTTTATGGTAAGAAACAACTATAAGATGGATCTATCAATGATCTATCAAGTATCAAACTCATTGATCTAAAAAGAAATTGGTGTGTCTAGTAATGAATTTTTAGTAGATTAGAAGCTCAAATATTGTTTAATGTGTTATTAGTGAAGTTATTGTATGACACCTACATGTTCCAAACTCTTGGTATTGTTGATTGTAATGTATCTATTCATATAATATAAACTACTAAAATGTGCATTTCTCATGTGTTTATACCTTATTCATAGTTATTTCAACCTCAGATTTAATGTTATTGATGTATTTGTGGGATTTGTAAGAGCTTTTCTAATGTATCCAAGTTATCCATATCTTTCCACCATGTCAATGCATATTCAAAGCATATCCTTATCCAAGCTTTCTGATATCATATAGCGTTAGTGATATTTTGAACCTTGCTTATACCTCTTTTCGTTTATTCTTTCTTTCTGTTTTTTTTTTACCTTTTTTCTTTTTATTTTTTGTAAGGCCTGGTTTCATTTGCACTGGTGCAAAAATATGGGAGTGTAAAGGAGAAAAATGCAAATGGTTTCCTTGAGAGCTTTCCCTCAACTTTCTTTCTCTCTTTTATTTTCTATTAAATAAATAAATAACTTATTTTGTGTGATTGCATTGCAAATGAAATGAACTAAAATCTGAAGCAAATTAAAGTAAAACCATAATATGCATTCTTCTCATTTGTACTAGTGTAAATGAAATTGCATTGCAAACAAAAGGAGCCAAGGAAAATAATCAATTATCACTTATTTAAAATGAAGAGGTAAAAGATTGACAAGCCTAACAGTGTCATGAACATGAGACGTCGAATGGTCCTCTGTTCGCACAGTTGGGATTGCTCAATCTTCCACATTGTACATTGTTGATGTCTAGAAAACAAACCTTGGTGATCCCCATGACAGATCTTAGAGAGATGGAGAGAGCAATTACCTCCAATGTTCGTACTTGTTCTTGGTACTGACTTATCAAGTTCTTCAACTGTTGTACTTCCCTCACCTTCTCCTCCTGCTCCAAATTGCGTTCATGCTGTATGGCAACTGCTCTCTTCAGTATTTGATTGTCCTTCAACAAGCTCTGCAGATTCTCTCTTAGAGAAGCAATCTCCTGCTGCCCCATGAAAAAGTGCCACAACCAAGATAGCCAACCTGTTAGTGAGTGCCAAAGACACATACGTTTTCCTATTTCAATAATTCAAGAAACACAAAAGAATCCATATAAAACTGCTGACTACCTCCTCCAATGTTCTTGCCTGAGCAACAACATTCCTTTCAAAAGCCTCTAAGATTGTAGCAGCGCGACCCCTGGCATCATCAAGATCTGTGGCGTTCATCATTTCTTGCACAAAAATGTCTATCCATGCAGTTCCACTTGCAGCGTTTTTACCCTCACAAGTTGAATTGTTATCCTCTAAATTTTCAGTCTCCTGCTCTGATATCTGACAACTTTCATTGCCTGGATGTGCAGACCTAAAACCTGTTGGGCAATTTGCAATCACCATTGGATCAAGGTTCTGTGCTTCGTTTTTGGCAGAAATGCTACCAAGGCAGAGAGCATGAAGACTTTCAATAGCATCTTCAATGTTGTGATTGTGAGTATTGAGAACAGTTTCTACCACCTACAAAGCAACAAAAATGAAAAATTAGATGCTTGCAGTCTGAAAAGTAATGAGAATACAGAAGTAACAAATTAATCAAAATTTCTGTTGCAGGTTTAAGGATATATAATGGGCATTATCGCATGCAACAATGGATACATATCTGACATGATATAATCTATAACACACATTCTCAGCACCATTATAATCATGTCAAGAGTTGATTAGAGCATTGATGTTGTTTCGTAACAAAAGTGATGAACATACAAAACGCCATCACTTGATTTTCCTGAAAGATAGACAGCAATCACATAGATCCTCATAAACTAAAGCTCGAATTCCGGTCACTCTTCAAACAGAAGTTCAGAATTTTGCGCCATTAACCCAGCTAAATCATTCGCATACAAAAGTACATACTGATGCTCTTTAGAGGCTTCACAAGCATTCATGGAATGGCAAGCTGAAGCGTGGATGGGATCTCAAATACAAAGTCCATTCAACGCACTCACTCCCAAGCAATTACACAGTATACACAGACTACGAACAGAATTGAAACTTGATTCTTCAAAGCTTCATGAACTTTACCAGAAAGGACAAAACGAAAAAGATTTCTGCACGAACAACCTGTAAGAACCCAAAAAAAAATCGAATTCTGGTAATAATTACACGAATTCCAATTCGAAACCTATCATGCCGGCGACCGACCACCAAAATTAATAGAATTAATTGGGAGAAACATCAGAAGATGCTAATCGAATTTACTTCAATCTTTAAATACAGAAAAATATGGAGATCTAGAAGAAGCCGGCAAACCTACCTCTCGATCCATCGAAGGGAACATTCGTAGCAAAAGGGAGACCTTATCCTCAGAGCCGAACCCGAAATCTGCCGAACGGATAGGAGAACCAAAACTAGAACACCTCGCTCTCTTAGCCGAAGACGTCGGCGTCGAAGATCCGAAGATTTCTTCGAATCCCAGACGCTTACCGCAAACTCCCGCAGACATCGCCACCAAACCCTAGTATCCGCAAAAACCCTAGGGTTTGATCGGAACAAAGAAAAAAAACAAAACCAAAGCTGCTCCAAGGTTTCTACAGTTTCCGATTCTCTTTTCGGGAATTCTTCTAAACCCTAAAAGGCTTTGAACTGGAGTAGATTATAAACGAGATTTATGAGTCCTCAGTTTTCCTCTTTGTCTCCTTCTTTCTTTTATTTTACGTATTTTAAATGAAATTTAGATTTTAGAAAGAACTACGAGAACCCCGCCTTAGCGAAAATGGGCTTGGAAATCATATGTTCTTGATGAAGAAAATACATTCAAAGAATATGGAAGTAATGGAACTCCACATTTTAAGCGATGAGGCGAAGAATAAAATTTGCAGTCACAAGGGTAGAAGGTTTGGATTCTTCTTTTTTTCTCCTCTCTCTTAAGTATGATCCCGCATTTCCGATCTCCCATCTGATTCTCATCTCACAATCTAAGATGGTTTAAAGCAGAGATAGCGAGTGACGATGGTGCACATGTGATTGTAGGGTTCACGGTAAAAGATAGTGCGGTGTTATTTAATATGGTAGGTGAAGAAACATTCACAATTTGCTTTATAAAGTGAAAGCAAATGAAACTGACATCGTGGTCGAGGAACAAAACAAACGAAAAATGACTCTTGTACCATCGTTTGGCAAGCGAATTGAACGTCGAATGACGAACGGTCGAAGTCGAACAAGCGCCTTTACGACGTATCCGTGATGGGATTCAGTCACTGCAAGGCCCGTTCCCACTGTAATATTCACGTGGAGATTTTGCACTCTGCGAGGGACCACAAATGTCAAATGTGGTTAATCCGAGTCGTTCATTAGCACACACTAATAAGGCTGCTTCAGTCAGATCAAAGTCTGTTGGAACACTTGCATCCGTATTTTTATGCTTTATTTCATTGGGAGATATTTCCGATACAAGGCTATGATGGCTGTTCGAATGGATTTTGCTGAATCCTGTTTTGGTTGTAAGCTAGTCAATCCCGTTCATGAGTTATTCGAGCTCGACTCGATGAATACCCGAATTCGATGAATACCCGAATTCGACTTATTGATAATTTGAACTTTGAACGTCTAAACACTTGGTTCGGGTTCGCGAGTCTATTCGAATATATATATAAATGGGGTTTGATTATGATGTCTAAAAATTTTCTAACCAGTCAATTAGAGTCAAACGTGGTAATCAATAAGATGTTATTTATGGGTGGATTCTAGATATATAATAGTTAAGATAGAAATTGATAATTAATAAAAGTAACAATATGATTAAAAATAAACTTAAATAGTATTAAATGTGTATTTGCAGAAATTTTAAATTATAATAATAATAATTATTATTATTATTATTATTATTATTATTATTATTATTATTACTACTACTACTAAATTTTGTATTCCATTTGTCTTAAATAAAAATAAATTTTGTTTTAATAATTATTTTTTTAATATGATAACTATATAACATTAAAAAAGTTACGAAATGTCTTTAACAAAAGTCTGTACTTTTTATTTTTTTAAATATTTATTATTCAACATCATGAATTTCTTTGAGAAGTTGGATAATTGACCCACCATTTAAATAACAAAATAGCTTTGCTTTCATATCAGCTCGTTTTTAAATTATATATTCTATCAACATTATATAAATAATTTTTATTTATCACTCTTAATTTTTTTGACATTATTAATATATAATTTTTTATATATTCTTTTGATTATATTATATCTTATGTATAATATTTATTTTGTGATTCTTTGTATTTTCTATTTTTAAAAATTTTATTATCATTTATAGGTTGATTTTAATTTTGGCATTTCATTTTCATCATTTATAAAAATACTTCTTACATTTCATATTTATTTTTGTTCAATATAATGAATATACAATATTAGTGATGTACCCGATTCTTTTTATTTTTATGTATTATATATTTTATTTATTTTAATTTTTTATTATTTAATTATGACATTATTTATTAATGCATTTGACCCCAAATGGTTGAATTGCTTACCCACCACTAAGAGGGAAGAAAATGGTTCTATTTTCAAATTAATTTTCAAAATATTTATTTTTATATTATTAAAATTAATATTGTGGATTTAATTAGTAGAATTTCATGATGAGAAAAATATATCTTAAATATAGGATTTAATAAGAGAATATATGAGACTTAATGAGAGATAATAGGAAAATAGTTTTACTTCCAAATTCCAATTGGTTTTAAATTTTATATTCTATTTTCATCATTAATAAAAACATTTCTTATTTATCATCAATGTTTTTAACTTGTTGTTAACTTGGTTGATTGAACCGTTCAAACCGTCACTCGGCCTTGATTTTGGGTTTGGTTCTGTTGAAACTCCCCATTTCAACTAAAAGCCATCTAATCCGAGATGTTCAACCATTGACCCGTTCGACTTAGTAAGCAGGTCGTAGGTTGCACACTTAATTACATGCAAACTTTTGGAAGCCAAAACCTTGCACTTTGATGTCCAATTGGTTTTTTTTTTTTGGAGTAACATTTCAAGATCTATACATCCTAAGGGCCTTAGGCATTTTTCCTTTCTATTTTTTTTTGCAAAAAAACCCTTTTTTGGCCCCAAATTATAATTTTTAATATTTTTTTATAAATAAAAATAAAAAACTGAATTAAAAAACATAAATAAATGTAACATAATACATATATTATATGTAATTAATATATGTAAAACATAATTGATGAAGGGAAATTTGGCCCGACCTCGCGATCGCCCGACACATGGTGAAGGCAAGCAGCTCGGGGCAGTAGAGCGCCCAAAGCGAACATCGGAAGCAAGTCCAAGCTCACTACCGAGCCCGAACTCCAGACCGCTGTACTTAGTCCGAGCTCCCTATTAAGAGCGAGTTCCCTGTTAAGGGTCCGAGCTCCCTAAGAACCTAGCTCCCTAAGTCCGAGCTCCCTACTAGGAGCCCGAGCTCCCTGTTAAGAGCGAGCTCCCTGTTAAAGGTCCGAGCTCCCTATTAAGAACAAGCTCCCTACTGGGAGTCCAAGCTCCCTATTAAGAGCGAGCTCCCTACTGAGAACCCGAGCTCCCTACAAGGAGAACGAACTATACTAGGCCCCGAGCCTCACAAAGCTGACCCGAGCT